TGCCCAGCAGGTCAAGGCTGCGGTGGCCAGGAGCGGCCACTGCACTCCAGTCTGGGTAACAGAGTGAGACTCCAACTCAAAAAAAAAAAAGATATATTTCAGTCCTTGACAAGTAGCAATAAGAGTTCAACTTACCAAGTAAAGTTCTCTCACTGTTGACAGAGCAACTGACAACTTGCAAGTCTTTCTCGAAGGTATACAGATGCTATTAAAACAAAAGTATTTTTTAATTTGAAGTTCCATGTTAAATAACAATTATAGAAATATAAATTCCCATTAAGTTCTACGTTAAGTATTACTGGGACAAAATATTTTATTAAAGAACCATCAATTAACTAGTTTAGCCATGCTGAGACATTCCAGATTATTCTTCATGAAAAAAAAGTTTGCTATTGTTGGCCATGTTTGGCACTGAAACTTAACCATGAAACAATCAGGCATAGTGGTTAAGAGCACAGACCATGGATTCCAACTAGACCCAGGTTCAAATCCTGACTCCGTCACTTGCTACCCTTGTGACTTTCCATCCTCCCTCTGTAAAATAGGAGTCATAATACCTACGTTATGGAATTGTTAGAAGGATCATGTAAGATCATCTACATGAAGCTCTTTAGTACAATGTCTGTCACACACAATAAGCACTCAATGTTAGCTATTAAAATGACTGATGTAAGTAAAGTTTTAATGAAAGTATACAACTTTTTTTTTGAGTTGGAGTCTCACTCTGTTGCCCAGACTGGAGTGCAGTGGCCACTCCCAGTCACTGCAGCCTCGACCTGCTGGGCTCCGGAGATCCTTCCGCCTCAGCCTTCCAAGTAGCTGGAACTACAGGTGTGCACTACCACGCCCAGCTAATTTTTTTATTTATTGTAGAGGTGAGGTCTTGCCAAGTTGCCCAGGCAGGTCTCGAACCCGCAGGCTCAGGCAATCCACTCACCTCAGCCTCCCAAAGCGTGGGATTACAGGCTGAGTCACCGAGCCCAGCCGAATGTATACAACTTATAAAATCATTAGTTATGTCTTAGAGGATGTCATGAGTGCATCTCCTGTAGGAATTTCATATTTAGAGGACTGGCAAAATCGTCCTCTATTTTTAATCCTTTCTTTTTTTCTTTTTTTGGATATTGTTTAAAATATTCTAAATGTCGCAAGATTCTATTTTCTTAAGTATTAAAGAAAATGAAAATGACCACATGGAAGAAAGATGTGATGTGCAGATTAAGGAACTAGAGAAAAATCACAGTTACATTATGCAAGCCCTCTTAAAGTACACTCAGAGGATAAAGGAAAGAGAGTCTTAGACCTCAGACTAGGAGAATAGGCTAAGAGAAACAGTAAATAGCATAAGTATTAAGAAGGTTATGAGTGCTACACATGTAGCACTGAGAACACACTAGAACCTTATGGCTGGTGGAAAATGTTGGGAAAGCTGGAGAGCAATTGGTTTTAAAAAGCGAACTTTCAATTAATAAGAAGGTACCAAATTCATGTGCAAATTTTTGTTTCCCTTTGACCTTGCTTTGAGGAATTTTGGATAAGTAAGAAAAATGGAGGTATTCAAATTTCAAATGCTTTATCCTTTTAATTATAAAATAACATGAGTATAGTCTCAGTGTTTAAAAATGCAAACACTACCAAATAAAAAGTCAAAAGTTATAAACACTCCATTAAACTCAATCTTAACTACCTTCCAAAAAGAAAAAAAAAGCATGTTTCTAATTTGTTCTGTAGCCTTCCAGAGCTTTAAAAATGAGTTTTCGGCCTGGCATGATGATGGCTCATACCTGTAATCCCAGCACTTTGAGAGGCAGAGGCAAGAGGATTGCCTCAGCCCACAGGTTCAAGACCAGTCCAGGCAACTTGGCGAGACCCAATCTCTACAATAAATCAAAAAATTAGCTGAGTGTGGTGGTACACGCCTGTAGTTCCAGCTACTTGGAAGGCTGAAGTAGAAGGATTACCTGAGTCCAGCAGGTCAAGGCTGCAGTGGCCGTGAGTGTGCCACTGCACTCCAGCCTGGGCAACAGAGTGAGGCTCCAACTCAAAAAATAAAATAAAATATTAAAAATGAATTTTCAATATATATATTTGTGTATTTAGAATACATAGTTTTCTTGCAAGTTTTTTTCAAAACATAAATGGAATGTATTATTCTGACAACTTGCTTTTGTTGTGTAACAATGTTTTGGAGAGCCTCCTGTTCCCCTACACATCTGTAGACTTCTTAATCCTTCAATGGTTGTGTCAATTTGCAAAGAACTTACTGATGGACATTTAATTTGCCTCCTACTTTCAGGTACCATAATAATCCAATAAACTTCCTTTTACACACATCTTTGTGAATTTGTGCAGGCATTTCTATAGAATCAAAACCTCAAAATGAAATTTCTAAGTCAAAAGTATACAAGTATCAGAATTCTTCATTTGTAAGCACCAAAAAATCTTCCCCAACCTAGTTTATGCAAAAAAGATAACAGCAGCTCAGAAAATTGAATGGTACAGCATATATGTCTTCAGCACTGGCTTATCCAGAGTTGGAGAAATTCACTCTCTTAGATTTCTGGGTTCAATATTCTTTTCAGTCTCCATACAATAGAGCTGCAAGTTCTATTCTCCAAAACCACAGCAGTTCCAACCCAGTAAATTCATTTACCACCAAACCCAGTGGAAAAGAGAAGAGTGCCTGCTCCATATTCCCAGCAAAGTCCATTATTCACTCGAATTTAACCAGCTTAGGTCACATCCACTCTTAAATGCACTAACAGGTAAGGCCTGCATGAAAGGGAGTAGAAGAAATAGACGAGAGAAGGTGAGGAAGGAAAGCCATTAGAAACTCGCCCATTTATGCATATATGTTGCTTCCCATCTGGCTATTGAAAGGAAAGATCACTCAGTCAAAACTTCACCGAGAGAGAGATACCAAGGTGGAGTCAGCCCTCTTCTCCCTCTTTCTCTCACTAAGTACAGTTTCAAATCCTTGAGCATTATATATAAAGCAAAGTTAAGAAGACTGAAAAGTACAGAGAAAAAGGCAGACTTTCTAGGGACCTCAGGACCTGAGGAATTACACAATGACAAGTTCCCTGGATTTCCCTCTTGCATCATACATCCTAGACTTGGATCTAAAGAAGTGAAAGCCACAGAAATGCTGACAGGAGCAGACAAAAACAAACACATACCCACTTTCTCTAGCCAAAGGAACAGGGAAGGGAAAATGTAGCAAGACAGAAAACTTTTAGACTATAACCACCCTACTCCAGCCAAACACCATGGAAAAAAATACAACCCCCAATGCCCCTCTACCAGCAAAGGCTGAGTGGCAGCCTAGACTCCTGCCTTTGCCCAGCTATAGCAAGGCACCCTTTTCACTCCTGCAAGAAGAGTATCAAAGAAGACCAAGCAGGAAATCAGAACTTTCATCTAAGCCCAGTGTCATGAGCTTTCCCCCACAAGAGCGTCAGCAAAGCCATATGAGAATCCTATACTCCAACTCCGCATTACAAAGTTGCCTCTCCTCTTCCTCCTCCTCGCTGGGATGGTGTCAGAGGTGGCTAAATAGGAAGCCAGAACTTTCACTAACACCCAATGATGATGAGGCCTCTATCTGCCTTCCCTCTACCCTACTCTTCTCCTGTGGTATTATCAGTGGAGGCCAGATGGGAACCTGAAATCCCACCTGTCTACCCATAACAAGGTACCTCTGCCCACTGTGGTTCAAAGGAGCCCACATGTGAAACTGATCTCCACTCCTATCTAGCAGTATGAGGTTGTGCTCCCCGCCATTCCTCAAGCAGATGTAATATCAGAGGAGGCATGCTAAAAGAGAAGATTTAAATAGGATTCAGAGTCTCATAACATAATACTCAAAATGTCTGAGATATGACTAAAAATCATACCTCATGCCAGGAACCAGGAAAATCTCAAGTTGAATGAGAAAAAAACAATAGGATGACACAGGTATTAGAATTCTCTGACAAAAATGTTAAAACAGCCACCTTTTAGTCTCAACAAGGAGACAGAACATATAAAGGAAAAAAGGAAATTTCACAACTGAAAAATATGGTAACCATTAAAAATACAATAACTGGTTTTTTTGGTGGTGGTTGTTTTTTTTTTTTAGTCAGAGTCTCACTCTGTTACCCAGGCTTGAGTGCAGTGGCACACATGGCGAACACAGCTTCGACCTGCTGGTCTCAGGCAACCCTTCCGCCTCAGCCTTACAAGTAGCTGGAAACATAGGTGCACACCACCACACCCAGTTAACTTTTTTATCACCAAGTTGCCCAGTCTAGTCTCAAACCTCTAGGCTCAGGCAATCCTCTTGCCTCTGCCTCCCAGAGTGCTGGAATTATCAGTGTGAGCCACTGTGCCCGGCCAATAACCATTTTTTAAAATAAAATCTCAATGAATAAACACAACAACATAGTGGCAAGGACAGAAAAATCAGTGAACCTGAAGATAAAACAATAGAAATTACCTAATCTGAAACAACAGAAAGAAAATAAACAGGAATAAAAAGGAATAGAATCAGGCCGGGCTTGGTGGCTCAGCCTGTAATCCCGTGCCTTTGGGAGGCTGAGGTGAGTGGACAGCCTGAGCCCGTGGGTTCGAGACCCACCTGGGCAGTGAGACCTCATTTCTACAATAAATCAAAAAATCAGCCGGGCGTGGTAGCACATGCCTGTAGTTCCGGCTACTCGGAAGGCTGAGGCGGAAGGATCGCCGGAGCCTGGCAGGTCGAGGCTGCAGTGGCCGGGAGCGGCCACTGCACTCCAGTCTGGGAAACAGAGTGAGACTCCAACTCAAAAAAAAAAAAAAAAAAAAAAGGAATAGAATCTCAAAGGTCTGTGAGACTTTAACAAAAGATTTAACATTTGTGTAATCAGAATCCATAAAAAGAGAGGAAAAACAGTGAAACTTTAAAATAAAAAAAGCCGTATACCTAACCCTGCATTGTGCTCCACATCTTTAAAATAAAAATAAAATAAAATAATAAAAATAAACCATTTGAAGAAATAATGACTGATGACTGAAAATGTCCCAAATTTGACAAGAGAATAGAGATTCAATAAGCTGAGTAAATCCAAAATAGGAGAAACCCAAACAAATTCACACCAAGAAAATCATAATAAAACTTCAGAAAACTAAGGACAAAGGCAAAAAAAAAAAAATTGAAAGCAGCAAGAAACAAAAAATGATACCTTATTTATAAGGTGAAAAACAATTCAAAAGACAAACAGATAACTCATGAGAAACCACGGAAGCCAGAAAGAAGTGGCACAACATTTTTCAAGGGCAGAATGGAAACAACTGATAATCCTGAATTCTATATTTGGCAAAATTATCCTTCAGGAATGAAAGCAATAAAGATATTCTCAGATGAAGAAAACTACAAGGATATGTCATTAGCATACTTACCCCTAAAATCATGGCTAAAAATGTTCTTGAAAGAGAAAAATAATAAAAGAGGAATATTAGAACATCAGGAAGGAAAAAAGAACAATGAAAAGAGCAAAAATATGGGGGAACACAATAGACTTTCCCTCTCCTCTATGTTTTCTAAGTTACACTTGGCAATCAGGGCAAAAAGTGTAACACTATCTGATATGGACTTTTTTTTTTTTTTTTTTGGAGTTGGCATCTCACTCTGTTGCCCTGGCTGGAGCGCAGTGACATGCTCACAGCCATCACAGCCTCAACCTGCTGAGTTCAGGTGATCCTTCCAACTAAGCCTTCCAAGTAGCTGGAACTACAAGCATGCCCAGCTAATTTTCTGATTTATTGCAGAGACTAGTTCTCACCATGTTGCCCAAACTGGTCTCAAATCCCTGGGCTCAGGCAATTCTCTTACCTCTGCCTACCAAAGTGCTGGGATTACAGGCATGAGTCACCGCACCCGGTTCTGATATGGATCTTAAAGAATGTAGAGGAAATATTGAAGACACTGCAAATGGGGAAAGGTAAAGGGACTTAAAAGGAGGTAAGGGTTCTACAGCTCATTCAAACGGGTAAAATGTCAACACCAGTAGATCTTTGTGGTGATAAAATAATTCTGTATCTTGACTGCAGTGGTGATTACAGGAATCTTCACAAGTGATGAAATGGTACAGAATTATACACACACATTCTACCAGTGTTACTTTCTTGGTTTTAATATTGTGCTATAGTTACACAGGATGTAACAATTGGAGAAAACTGATTGAAGGGTACACAGGATATTGCTATAGTAGTTTTTCAAAATCAAATAAAAATAAATAAAAACATTGAGGAAAGGATAGATAAGTATTAAGGCCCAGGTCCATTATTCCATCCCGAAGTTCTATTACAAGAGAAAGATTCTTTCTCTTGATGGCACCATCTTTCTCCTGGTAGCAACTTTCCACGGAGAAGCATAGTACTTGAAAAGAATTTTAAAATTCAACTATATTTCGCATGCAAATCCACTCCATCAATAAAACCAGCAAAAGGCCAATAAAACACATATGGATTGTTAACGGTTTGTATGTGAGAGAGATATGGGAGAAAGAGAGGGTTTGTGTAGCCGGGCTCGGTGGCTCAGCCTGTAATCCCGCGCCTTTGGGAGGCTGAGGTGAGTGGATTGCCTGAGCCCATGGGTTCGAGACCCGCCTGGGCAGTGAGACCTCATCTCTACAATAAATCAAAAAATCAGCCGGGCATGGTAGCACATGCCTGTAATTCTGGCTACTTGGAAGGCTGAGGCGAAAAGATCGCCGGAGCCTAGCAAGTCGAGGCTGCGGTAGCCAGGAGCGGCCACTGCACTCCAATCTGGACGACAGAGTGAGACTCCAACTCAAAAAAAAAAAAAAGAGAGGATTTGCGTAATGACTGGTTCGGAAGCAAGAATTGCCTATTTACAAAGGCCAGTTTAAAGCTCCCATTAATTTATCCTTTGCCCAATGTATTTTCTGGACTAACCTCCATATTTTGAAATCAAAAGAATCTTTGTCACTGGAAAAAATTTGGAAAACAGCCACTCTGGAGAGAATCTATCACTATTAACTTGTTGAAAAACACTCACTGAATTCCTACCACTCACAACACCAGAAACTAAATGTGATGGCAATGAAACACACTAGTATGCAAAATGCTCCTTACTCTCAAGTGCTTACAATCTTGGTAGAAGTAAATATGTCCACAAAAGACAGTAGTAGGCACCAGAACCAGATTGACAGAAGTCAGACTATGATGTCTTCTGTAAACTCATCTTCTTGGAATACATACTACATAGAAATTAAGCTAAAGATTGCACTAAAAACTGGAGATTTTATTGTTTATCTCACTCCCTAGATTGTATTGTGACAAGGCTTGTCTTGGTCACCATCGTGTGTCTAGCACCTGATAGGGGAAACACTGAATGCATATTTGTTGGATCAGTGAATGACTGAGAGAATGAATGAGGGTAAAAGGGGTGAAAGAATGGGGAAAAATAGAGCATTAACCAAGAAATATATTGGAAACCTGAAGAGTAAGGTTAGCAGTGAGAAAATCAAAAATTGAAAAAGGACATTTACATTCAAGGATGTTTAAAATTCAATTCTAAGTTGTTTTTATAATACATAGGCACAAAATGACTCCCTTCCATTTGCCTTAAGAATTAGAACAAAGCCTGTCACATCCATCAATGCCTTATGAGAGTAGTTTGGAGAAAATCTAAGGAAAGGAAGCTGAGTTCCATAGCTGAATCAGTGAGAAGTAATGAGAAGCAAGACAAGCAAAGGTTAAGAAGTGGAACTCAGATCTAGAGGTCATAATGAGATGACTTGGAGAGCACAAATCTCGAGGAAGGCATTGGACTTCCTACTTTCTCACAGAATATTAGATAATTGTTTCAGTCAACTTTACGTAAATCTCAAAAGACTAAGAGACTTCAGCTGACTTTTTTGGTTGAGGAGTCCTTGCATATTTTTAAGAAAATAGGGCCAAGGAGATAGTAAAAGAAGAGGAGAAAGGCAAAGAAATACAAGCTAAATTTTTAGAAAATAAATAAGAATTTATATCCAGACAAAGGAAAACTTTAAAAACAGTAAAGTAACCAATGAGTAATCTTATGATTTACAGTGATGTTTACCTTGCTTTGTCTGGTTTGGCAATCATATAATCCAAAGAAGACATTTCCCTTATTGTCCTAAAAAATTAACCATATGTTTATTAAACACCATTGTTTAGGAAGTTATAACATTACTAGTTTTAAAACAAATCTGCAATATTTCCAACTTGTATTAGTAATAAGCTTTCCAAAGAAAGCTTGCTGTGCATGTCAGAAAGGGCTGAACCCGATTCAGCTAGTCGTTTGGGGTTAAAGAATGAAATGGATCAACAGTGTACAGTTCAGTGAGTCTGAGGGACTGTGTCTAGTAGTACTGAGTATGGTGAAGGAATAAATATTTTTGTACCTCCATTTATATCCTTGAGAATATGTATGATGAATAATGGGAATGGCTAGAACAAGCCTGTGAAATTCTTTTAAGTAAAATTTGAATCATGCAACTCCTTAAAGGTCACGTCCTTAGACAAAACCTAAAGTAATAATTTTTTTTTTGAGTCAGAGTCTCACGCTATCACCTAGGCTGTAGTTCAGTGGCAGGCTCACGGCCACCGCAGCCTTGACCTGCTGGGCTTAGGCGATCCTTTTGACTCAGCCCTCCAAGTAGCTGAAACTACAGGCCTGCGCCCCCACGCCCAGCTAATTTTTTGATTTATTGTAAAGATGAGGTCTCACCATGTTGCCCAGGCTGGTCTCAATCTCATGGGCTCAGGCAGTCCTCTTGCCTCCACCTCCCAAAGTGCTGGGATTACCGGTGTGAGCCACCACACCAGGCAAGTAATATACTTTTAACTAAAAAAAGTACAGTGATACACCTGTGCAAAGCAAACTGGCCATTGAATGTATTCATTCATGTATCTCTACTAATGTAAAGTTATCAAATAAAGTTAAATTTTCCTTAGAATACAACATCAAAAGCCAGGTGCAATGGCTCACGCCTTCAATCCAGGACTTTGGGAGGCAGAGGCGAAAGGATTGCCTGAGCCCACGGGTTCAAGACCAGCCTGGGCAACATGGTGAGACCTCGTCTCTACAATAAATCAAAACTTAGCTGGGTGTGGTGGCACATGTCTGTAGTTCCAGCTACTTAGAAGGCTGAGATGGAAGGATTGCCTGAGCCCGGCAGGTCAAGGCAGCAGTGACTGTGAGCAGTGTGCCACTGCACTCCAGCCTGGGTGAGAGTGAGATTTCAACTCAAAAACAAAAAAGAATACAACATTGAAAACACATCAAATAATGTCCCCCAAAATCAAACGTATCAAAATCTGAATAGACAGAATAATCATATTTAACATTTCTCAAAGATAAAAATGTAACACATTAGTTAGGTTTAAATATATTTTATTTGTCTTTTTTCTCTAGAAAATGAAACTGTTCATTTATTTAAAATTTTCAAGTACTGTGTCAAATGTGCCCATTAAGTTTTTTATTTTATTTTTATTTTTATTTTATTTTATTTTTATTTAAAAATTAGAAAACATCTCATAAGACTAAATTTCAATCACCTATTCAATCTCATACCCCAAAACTTAAGGCCATATGTTAAAGACTAAATGCTAACAAGTCTTATTAATTATCCCTCTACAAAATACAACATTCCTTAAGAAGAGACCATTTATGGTGAAAATAGTAAATTTTATATTATATATGTTTTACAACAATAAAGAAGAGAGAATATACACGTACCTTATAGGTATAAATAATATTTCCATTTCTTTCAACATTTAGTACACGTAAGCTCTCAGAATTATTTTCTAATGCATCTGAAATGATGATAATAACAAGTTAACACTAAGTAGCTGTCTAAAACCAAATATAATATTAGGAAAGAAGTACAACTATGTATATACTGGTGATTCTGTTATATAAAGTTTAAAATAAGCAAGGTAATTATTTTGTTAGAAGTGAGAACAGTAGTAGAAGAGGAAAGGAGAGGTGATTGGGAAGCATCTCAAGGGAATCTTCCTAGGTGTTGGTAATGTATGTCTTGGGTCTGCTGATATGCTCACTTTGCAACAACTCACTGAGCTGTATACTCTTGACTATAAACTTTTCTGTATGATACACTACAATAAATTTCAAGTATCTGTTAGCTTTTGCTTGATGTATTTTGAGGCTACATTATTAGAAGCATACAAATTTAGAGCTGTTATAATTTCCTGGTGGATTAAACAGTTAGGCACGCAGCTTAGCTACCAGGTGTCTGAGTAGTCAATTAAAGTTATAAGATAAAAAAGAAAGTAACAATCAAGCCTTTAATCACTTATTGTGATGCTATAAGAAAGTTTTAAATAAATGAAGTTTCATTTTCTAGAGAAAAAAGACAAAGAAAGTACCAACTTTTCTGTTCTGTTTTCCCCCATAGACTGGTGCTGTTGGGTCAACAGTCAGTGAATTAGCACTGAAATGGGGCTCTCCCACTGCCAAGGTAGCCCCACCAAAAGGTTCCTGCAGTATTATGGACCTAGGACCCAAGGAGAGGGAGAGGGAAAAGAGCTGGGAGTGGAAAGTACTAAGTCAGAGTAGAGAAAAAGTGTCTTCAAAATTTCCCACTTCCCCTGCCAAGTTTCTTTCAAGGTGTTATTTCTTTCTCCTATTAACTTCTCAGCTATATGTTCTTTTGCTATTCTTTTCAGTTATACTAAAAGTTATAACATGCATCCTTGACTTATTGTGCTTTAATATCACATGATGGCAAAAAATGTGAATTGAAACTCTCATGCACAGTTAAAGGAAGTATAAATTGAAAGTCAACAAAAGACACATATAAGAATGTCTATAGTACTGTGGTTCCTAAATAACCCAAACTGGAAACCCAAAATATCCATCAAGTGAAAAACGAATAAATTGTGGTATCTCCAAACAATAGAATACAATATAAAAATGAAAATGAATCAACATCCTATAACATACACATAAATAATTGAGCAAAAGAACTTCCCTCACCAGCAAAAAAAAAAAAAAAAAAAGTACAAACAATTTTTCAATTTATATAAAAGATTCAAAAGCAGGCAATACACAATGTTAGATAAGTGACTGCTGGAAAGGCTGCATGAAAGACCTCTGAGATGCTACTAATGTTTTCTTTCCTGCTCTAAGTGCTAGTTACAGAAGTGTATTTCAATTAGTGAAAATTAACTGAGTTGTACACTCATTTACTTTTCTGTATGAAAGCCGTATTTTGATGGACATAAAACATTTACACAAAACATTTAATTTATAAATTAACTGATAATCTTTCTTATAAAATTTTAGGATCATTATCCTAATTCTACAATTAAAGAACTTAAACATTGCTAGATATACCATTGATTGCTATCATCACTACCGAGGAGAAATGTATACTTTCCCAATTGCCTCAAAAGTTATCCAAAATTGTTTAAACTTGACCCATATATGAATAGTGCATTTCAGGTGTTAAAATATTATTACATTGTTTATAACAAATTCTAATATTCAGAAAAAAACGATGTGAAATATCCTGCAACTCAAAGCAAATTTTAGTTAGTATTCCTAACATAAAAGAAAAAAATAGGATGAAAAAATAAGGATAATTGGTGAGCTGGACACCAGCACTGAAGTTGGAGGTGGGAAACATTTAGAGATGACAAGCAGGTTTCACTGGAATATAGGCATCATCCTGGAATCTCTTTTCTCCCCCCCCTCACAGGAAAAGGCATTGTGGACCTGTTTTTTATATATGGGTATATACATCTTTCAGTACATATTGAAATGCCTGTTGAGCTGTCAGATACACTTTACACTGATTAAAAAATAAGGATAATTATTATTTTTTAATAATAATAATGGTCTCTTAGAAGAATAGGATGTAAACAATTAACTTACAGCTAAATATACTTCACAATTTAGAGAATTCTCATTTCTATCTCATCCACACTGCATAAGGTATATAAGGCCTGCAGTGCCAATGAAACAGTTGAGTGTCAATGAGGTAAAGATACTTGGCCAATATCTTACAGCAAAAAAGTGGCACAGACTTATGTCAAACCTAGAACAAGGTAAACAGAACAACAGATTAAGTGTCCTACATCAAACTTACAATAGAAACATGAGTATTTACTCAAAAATCCTTTTAAGGTAGATTTTTGTAGACAACTAAAGAGAATTTTAGTGAGTTATTTTTTCAGCCTGCACATGATTAAAACTCCTGGAATGAAGTATGTCAATATTTTGAGAAGCATTTTTTTTTTCAAGATGATAAGGATGTTGGGAGAGAACTTCACAAAAGTACACTTAAAAGGTCTCAGCTAGGATAAAAAACTCCTTTACAAGAAATCTTGCTGGTCAGGTGTGGTGGCTCATGCCTATAATCCCAAAGCTGCCGGGCTCAGTGGCTCAGCCTGTAATCCCACGCTTTGGGAGGCTGAGGTGAGTGGATTGCCTGAGCCCGCGGGTTCGAGACCCGCCTGGGCAGCGAGACCTCATCTCTACAATAAATCAAAAAAAAATTAGGCAGGCATGGTGGTGCATGCCTGTGGTTCCAGCTTCTTGGAAAGCTGAGGCAGAAGGATCACCTTAATCCAGCAGGTCGATGCTGCAGTGGCAGTAACTGGCTAATGCACTCCAGTCTGGGTGACAGAGTGAGACTCCAACTCAAAAAACAAAAAAAAAAATCCCAAAGCTTCAGGAGGCTGAGACAGGAGGATTGCTTGAGGCCAGAAGTTCAAGACTAGCCTGGGCAACATTGTGAGATGACATCTCTACAAAAAAATTTTAAAAATTAGGCAGGCATGGTGGTGCATGCCTGTGGTTCCAGCTTCTTGGAAAGCTGAGGCAGAAGGATCACCTTAATCCAGCAGGTCGATGCTGCAGTGGCAGTAACTGGCTAATGCACTCCAGTCTGGGTGACAGAGTGAGACTCCAACTCAAAAAACAAAAAAAAAAATCCCAAAGCTTCAGGAGGCTGAGACAGGAGGATTGCTTGAGGCCAGAAGTTCAAGACTAGCCTGGGCAACATTGTGAGATGACATCTCTACAAAAAAATTTTAAAAATTAGGCAGGCATGGTGGTGCATGCCTGTGGTTCCAGCTTCTTGGAAAGCTGAGGCAGAAGGATCACCTTAATCCAGCAGGTCGATGCTGCAGTGGCAGTAACTGGCTAATGCACTCCAGTCTGGGTGACAGAGTGAGACTCCAACTCAAAAAACAAAAAAAAAAATCCCAAAGCTTCAGGAGGCTGAGACAGGAGGATTGCTTGAGGCCAGAAGTTCAAGACTAGCCTGGGCAACATTGTGAGATGACATCTCTACAAAAAAATTTTAAAAATTAGGCAGGCATGGTGGTGCATGCCTGTGGTTCCAGCTTCTTGGAAAGCTGAGGCAGAAGGATCACCTTAATCCAGCAGGTCGATGCTGCAGTGGCAGTAACTGGCTAATGCACTCCAGTCTGGGTGACAGAGTGAGACTCCAACTCAAAAAACAAAAAAAAAAATCCCAAAGCTTCAGGAGGCTGAGACAGGAGGATTGCTTGAGGCCAGAAGTTCAAGACTAGCCTGGGCAACATTGTGAGATGACATCTCTACAAAAAAATTTTAAAAATTAGGCAGGCATGGTGGTGCATGCCTGTGGTTCCAGCTTCTTGGAAAGCTGAGGCAGAAGGATCACCTTAATCCAGCAGGTCGATGCTGCAGTGGCAGTAACTGGCTAATGCACTCCAGTCTGGGTGACAGAGTGAGACTCCAACTCAAAAAACAAAAAAAAAAATCCCAAAGCTTCAGGAGGCTGAGACAGGAGGATTGCTTGAGGCCAGAAGTTCAAGACTAGCCTGGGCAACATTGTGAGATGACATCTCTACAAAAAAATTTTAAAAATTAGGCAGGCATGGTGGTGCATGCCTGAAGTTCTGGCTTCTCAGGAGGCTGAGGTGGGAGGATTGCTCAAGCCCAAAGGGTAGAGGTTGCAGTGAGTCATGATTGCACCACTATACTCCAGCCTGGGTGACAGAGCAAGACCCTGTCTCTAAAAGAAAAAAAGAAAGAAAAAAATCTTGCTAAGAAAAACATTTAACCACAAGCCCTACCCAAGATATTCTGGTTTTATTAGGTTAGTGTGGGCCCACTCTCTGGTGTGGATGTATGTGCTTTTAAGTTTCCCACGTGAAACTAATGTACAGCCAGGGCTGAGAACCACTGAACTACATATTTATATTACATATTAAGCAATATTCATTATAAAGCATAACTAGGGCCTTCTTATAATATAACCATAGCAGACAGAGTTGAAAGAAATAAATATAATGCTTTCATGGGTACATTGGGCAATAGCTGCATGCTTGAATAACACTGCAGTTAAGTACATGGTTCACATTTTAAGGGCACTTGAAATGGACAAATTTGGCAATGTTGGAAATCCAGACACCAATGTCTCACCATATACTTATTAACCCATCAGCCTTCCCTCCCCAGATTAGTTGCTCATGTTTTAACACATCCTTTTAAAAGAAGTAGTCAATACTCTCTTTGCTTATTCATTCTGACTCTTCTCCCAGTAGTTCATCACTGGAAAGTCCAGAGAAGGAAGTTTAGCAATTTCAAATGAGGAAATGTGGTTTGATTTTACAGTAGAGTACTCCGTGCTCGTGAAGAAAAAAATGCAGCATTTTGATAGATAGGTGCATAAGTAAATCTACAAAAGAGAACATCTAGATATATTAAAGATCTTAGCAAATTATGGCTCATATGAAACAGAGGCTAATTTGCCAGACATTCCCATTCATTTCAATCTATTCTTTGCCAAAAAAAAAAAAAATTGATTTCACTTTACAGAAAGATGTTTGCCAAATGTGTAAATTTTATCCCAAACTACTAAGAGACAAAAATCAAATAAAAGTATTTCTTGTCTTCCCAGTGACCATACATAGGGAGGAAAGTCATACATCCTTGTACAAAAATCTGAACTAGTTCCCAATACATAGATGAAGAGGTAATAAAACATGATTTAGACCCATGACATTTCAATTCTGTAAATAATTCACATCAATCCTCAGGCTCAACATGACCAGATATTATAATTCCTAAACCTATGAAGTAAACATCATGATGTGAGTTATATTTTGTATTCTGAATAAAATGAGAAAAAGCAAGAGTGGGATGATTAATTAAAAAGCAATAAAAAGAGAAACGAGAATTAGGAAAGGAGACTATTCAAGTAAAGGAAAGAAAATTGAAAAGGAAGGATAGTGGCAAGAGAATACTGAAACAGGTGAAAATAATGTGACTAAGGCAGCTCCTCAAATCCAGGAGTATACAGAAGGCAGCAACAACAAATAATTACTCCTGAATAAATCACCTGGTTAAAAGATTTCACTTCCCTGGCAAGATGAATGGATGAATATCAAACGATATTTGGAGCTGGTATGTCATATATCCAAGACTAATCAAAGCAAGCAAGAAAACCAATATCTTTCCAGTCTTAAATGCAAATGACATTTAAATTTTAGAAAATTTACATAACACAGCTCTTAGTTTCTTGAAGGTGTAATCCATCTCAACAAGGAATTAAGCATTAGATACAAAAATCAACATGTAAAATCTTTTGTATTTCTCTATACCAGCAATAGTTAGAACAAGTAATATATTTAAATGTACTATTTATGAGAACAACAAAAAATAATTACCTAGGAATAAAGCTAGCAAAAAGTGTACCAAACCTTCATGGAGAAAATTCTAAGACTGATTAAAGAGTCATTAAAGAAGATATAAATAAATAGCAGGCTATACTTTCTTCAGAGTTGAGAAGATTCAATATTGTAAAGATGTCAGTTCTCTCCATGCTGACCTATAGAGGCAATGAACTTAAAATTCCAATTGGTTTTTTGGTGAACTGCATGTGGATTCAAAAATATATATTATATACGTGTGTGTGTGTGTACATACGTGTGCATGTGTATATATACATATATAAAGCAAAGAGCATAGAATAGTCAAGATGCTCCTGCAGAATACTAAGGTGAGAGGACTGACCATACCAGTTATCAAGACTTATTATAAAATGTAGTTCTTAAGATGCTGTCATATCAAGTTGACATAGGAGCAAAACAAAGAACCCAGAAAACGAGGCCTACACATATAAGGAAGTCTTGATGTGCGACAGAAGTGGCTTTGCAGTTAGTGAGAACCAGAAGAACTATTTACTTAATACTGAAACAACTAGCTATTAATATGAAAAACAATACAATTGGATTCCTATGTCATATCACACAAAAGTTAATTCCAGGTGGATTAAAATTAAAATGTGAAAAGCAAAGCTATAAAGCTTTCAAAAGTTAATACTAAAAATGTCTTCATGACTCCTAAACAGGGAAGATTTATCTTAAAGATCAAAAATAGATCAAAATTATAAAAAAAGCTCACAAATTACATTAAAATTGAGAGCGGTTTATCAGACACTATCACAATCTGAAAAAAAAAACAAGTGACAGATTGAGAAAATATTTGCAACACATGATGAACAAAGAACCAGAATTAAGAACATATAAATAACCACTGAAAATTCAACATTGAATGGCTAATGGACAAAAGGATGAACAGACATTTCACAGAAAGGGAAATTCAAATGGTCAATAAACACATAGAGATGCTCAACCTCAGAGCAGTAAGAAATAACTACTGGTCCCACCAGTGTGACAAAAAATAAAATCTGGAACTATCAAGGGCTTGTGAGGATATAGATTATCAGAACATTTCCACACCACAAGTGGGGGTGTTAATAAGTGCAACACTTTGGAAGACAATTTGCACTACCCAGGAAAGATGAAGATGTTCACAGCCTGTGACTCAACAACTCCACTTTTAGACATATATCCTAGAGAAATTTGTGCCTGTGTGCACCAGTGGTTAGTGAAGGCACTGACACTAATAGCAAATTCCGGAAACCTCCCAAATGCCGCCCATTGGAAAAATAAGTTGGGTTTCCTAGAAACACTCTGAGACATAGTCCCCAGCATGTGTACCTGAGAGTGCTCAGTAAAGTGGAATTAACACCTGTAAGAGGAAGGCGATGGAAGCAAGTCCTGGTAAGGGGAGAAGCCCAGTGGCAATGTGGGTCCAACAGCCTCAGGTGACCTTGGGGTACCCTGTGGGAGAAGCTTCAGAAATGAAATGGATTGCCAGAGTTGTTCCACATGAAGTCAAAAGGGCTGAGCCTTTTAATGCCACCTCAATCCCTCACTGATGTGGGCCATACGCCAAATGGAGTGAAGTTGGATAAGGCAGCCCTCTGCTGAGGAAATCCTTGAAAAGTCTGACAGCTGAAGGCTGTTGACCATACTCACAGCATGTGAAACAAGCCACTTTTTGAAAGAAGAATCTTAGTGGCATTATCTTCGCATCTACTTTAATGTTGTAATTACACAATGAAATACTATACAGTGAAAAAAAGAAATTTTTTTCCTTGAGTCAGGAGTCTCACTGTGTCATCCAGACTGGAGTGCAGCAGCCTGGCTAATTTTTTGATTTATTGTAGAGACGCGGTCTCACCAAGTTGCCCAAGCTCATCTCCAACCCCTGGACTTAGGTAATCCTCTCACCTCGGCCTCCCAAAGTGCTGGAATTACAGCCATGAGCCACAGCAGTGAAAATTAATGACTAACAGCTAGCCAGTCAACATGGATAAATTCTACAATACTGAGACGGAAAAAAAAGCAAAAAGTATACATTAGTGTGCTTTTATTTACTTAAAGTTCATAGACAAGCAAAATAAAATATTTTGCTAGGAAGATATACACATGGGTTGCAACGACAAATAAGATCAAAGGAATGTTAAAATACAAAATTTTAAATAGTTGTTAACCTGGGGGCCATGAGAGAGAGAAATAGAATCAAATGGGGACAAAAGTCTTCAAAAGTCTTGATATTGTTCTGTTTGTAAGGTGTGTCGTGGGTAATATGACTTTGTTTTGTTTGTTATTTATAGACATGTGAAAATATGCTTTATATGATTGTTTTGATTTCTACAAACCTTTTCTTCTTTTATTTCAGGCAAGACCATTTTCTCAAAGTTTAACCCAGAACCAGGAGCAAAGGCAGTAATCCCTTGTTGACTACAGCGCTATCTTTTAGGCACAGAATTTCCATGGCTGTCTTAGCCCAACTCCCTGGCTATTTTGCCAGGAATATGTCATATATATTTCATGAGAATTACTTAGCACCACTAAGAAATCTTCAGTTATAAACCACGGTAGTTCATGCCTGTAATTCCAGCACTTTGGGAGGCCGAGATGAGACAAGTGTCTGAGGCCAGGAGTTCAAGACCAGCCTGGGCAACTTTGGCGAAATCTCATCTCTACAATAAATCAAAAAATTGGCCAGGCGTGGTGGCGTAAGTCTGTAGTCCCGGCTACTTAGAAGGCTGAGGTGAAAAGATCACCTGAGCCCAGCAGGTCTTGACTGCAGTGGCCGTGACTGTGCCACTGCACTTTAGCCTGGGGGACAAAGTGAAATTCTGACCAAAAAAAAAGAAAGAAAGAAATCTTCAATTGTATTTGTTAATGCAAAAAAGGTTTCAAATTTAGAAAGCAAGTGTGCAGAGAAGTTATAATGGCATAATTATTCTAATTTACATTTGAAAAGTTGGGATTTAGAAAGGAAAATAATTTGCACAAACATGTAGAGTAATGGCTGCGCTAGAAATAAGACAGAATCCAAGATTCCCATGTCACTGCTATAAATTTCAGTAGAACAGAATTAACTTGTGTGGGTTTTTTTTTTTTCCTACCACCCACTGGTGATTATCAGAGGTAACAACTCCCTTAGTACAACAGGGCTAATATCTTGCCAAGATATTTGCTCTGAGAGAGCAAAATACTAACAATATCAGAAATGTCAGTATTTCTAGTAAGTTTATCTTCTGAGGACCCAGGTGTATCCATTGTTAACTGGAACATGAATACACAAGTTTATATTTCTTCACAGATGAGTGAAGGATACAAGAAAGCCAAAACCTACTGGGTTACACACAGCTTTTCAATCACAACATGCATTGCTGAAACATAAGACTGTGGCATTTCACACTTCATCTAACTTCTCATTTCCAGACACCTGCTATTTAGCAAAAGAACGTGGGAGGTCAGAAGGACTACTTTGTGGAGGGAGATACTTGGAGCGGCCTACTGTATTTCCAATAGTTAAACCTTTAAAAACTTTTTAGACACCCAGGAGGCTTTTTAAATTCTCCTCTCACGCAAAAAAAGAGCAAAGCTTTACTAATCATGACACTAAAAGCAAACTCAAGCCATAAGCCACACAAACATATAACTCCTTGTTTGTAACTATCAATCAATAAACAAAACAAAACAAAACAAAAACCCTACAAATAATTTTACTAGAGCCACAGGACAGTGTGAAGAAGCAAGGTAGCAATGGTAAACTTTGGTCAGAGTTTAAGGGAAAGGAATTGTAGACATGGGTGATTAGATATTTAAAAACAAAGAAGTCCTCTGCCGTTTCCGTTGTTTATGGAAAAGCCAAAGGGAAAAAAATAGAGGAAAGTACACTAAAGTGGACAGCTCCGATGCAAACGGTGGGACCCGGAGACGTCACTGCTTTGAAGGTGAATTTAAGCCCTGAAGATGCTCTATTATTTACAGCAAACTTTTGTCCTTAAAAAGAAAAAAAAACGGAAAAACCACAGAATTCATCTACTTAAAGATGATCAAAACCGAGAGGGCTCAAAAGTCACTTTTCGCTCCCCCGCCAAAGTCAAAACAACGTTTTTTGGGACAGATGAGAACCAAAGCCTCAATTGCTGGGTCTGTATTTGAATGCACCGCGGGGAAGCTGGGCAGGACACGGAGCATCGCTCGGTCTCGGCCACGCCCGCCCGCCCGCCGCTCAGGGGCGCGCGCCGCGGCGCCCGGCACTTGATGCCTCTCTGCCCCTCGGGGGCTCTGGGTGCGGGGCTCGCAGCCTGCGGCCGACCCCTGCCCCGCGCACTTCACATCCGCCGCGGCAAGTCCCCTCGGTCACGGACACTGTTCACGCGGAGGCAGAAACACGACTCACAACTGTAGGGACCTAACTGTTCGATATTGACATGCGGGCTTGCTTGGTGGCCACGATTCTTTTTTCTCAAAAGGCGCCGCTTGCAGGAGCTCGGTCCTGGCGGGCGGAGCTTCCCGGGCGAGGGAGACGGGAGCGACCCTCTGCACGTCCCGCAGCGGCTGCCCCACGCGGCGATGCGCGGGGACCACGAGCGCCGCGGTCTCTCCACTCAGGGTGAATGGCGGAGGGCCACGATGCAAGCCGAGGGGCCAGCCCCGCCGCGACCTTCACCCGGGGCGGGAGGTGAGGGTGGCGACGCCGAAAAAGCCGGTTCTCGGCATCAGCCTTCCCCGGTCGGCGGCGGAGCCACAGGCTGCTCCACGTCGGGTCGGCTCTCCCCCACCTCCCCA